AGTCCAGATCAAGTCCATAAGTCCAATATTAGCCCATATGTCTGATACCAATCTATAAAGTCCTCTTCAGACTCAAGAAACACATGCAATGATGCCGAATGCAGGAGGATCACAGGCCAGTGTATTGGAAGTCTTGTGGATCCAGTGTCGTTGTAAGCATGTCAGTGCTGGCAGGAATCTCTATGTGGCTTCTCCGGCTGCAGAGGTCTAGCTTCATCAGGATAGGTCCATCTGGCTTCCCCAGCTCCCAGGGCTTCGGGCCGTGTGTCTTGTCAGTAGAGTGTCTCTCAGGGAATGAGCAAAGAGAGAGAAGTGTCTCCTGCCTCCAAGGAGGAAATACAGGAGTTCCCAGAATTCTCAAGAGAAGTCCATGCCCACACAGCGGCCTCATTTGTTATATCTTGATTGACAGACTAGACTCCACCCCTTCACTCATAATCCTCTCAAATTGACACCAGATTATGTAACTACCGCAATAGGACAACAAGCTCATGTGCTCAGTCCCTTTCTCTATGACTTGGGTTGACCTTAAGAGCCCTTTGGCAGTTTAGACTCCTCAACTCCACAAGAGCTTCCTGCTGAGTAGGTGATTCTAATAACAAAGGAGAGAAAATACCCAGAGGAGAAGCATCAGGCTGGCTTCTGCCTGTCCATGTCAGAGGCTGAGACAAAGATGAGGTAGCCAAGGGCCTCCCCCTTTAGAAGCTGCCACTTCTGAGCCTTCTTCATGACTCCACTGTAACCATATCAGAAACTCCCAGGGTGCTTTTCAGTCCCACAGCTGAGCAATGATGTGGGAGATTTCCTTTTTATTTTTATCACTTTCCCTCACATAAGACATGGAAAGATTAGAGCTTCTTGTAATAAAAGGAAAAGGAATTTTAAGACGGAACACGAAGAACCTTGAGGAGTAAAGTTATAAAGCCAAAGCAGGAACCAAATCTTCACACTTGACATATTTAGTATTTTTGCTTAGAGCAAAATCTTGGCATAACATTTAACCAGGGTAGAAGCAACCCAAGTGGTCATCAACAGATGAATGCATGAGCATCAACTGATGGATGGCATATCCACACAATAGAACATTACTCAGGAGAAAGATGGGGCTTTCTACTCCCACCACCACTTCATCTCAGAAACTCACAGGAGCAGTTCTACCCTGTCCCAGAGTCTCTGCGAGTCGGCATTGACTTGATGGGGAGGTCGGTTTCTGGGTTTTGGTATAAGCAGATATTAAGCCTTGATACATACTGCATTATGGCTGTACCTTGAAATCATTATGCTGAATGAAATAAGTCAGACACAAAAGCAAAGGTAGTATGTAATTTCATTTATAGGAAATATATAATAGGTGTACTGGTTATGCATTGGGCTGTGAACTTTAAGTTCAGCAGTTCAAAACCACCAGCCACTCCTCAGGAGAAAGACAGGACTTTCTACTCCCATAAATAGATCGAGTGTTGGAAACTCATGGGGTATAGGGTTGTCCTATAGGGTTGCTCTGAGTCTTCATTGACTATATGACAGGGAACATTGAGACAAAAGAAGATTCATGGCTAAGTGAGCTACACAGAAAGCATTAGTTTGGAATCCCTTGGCCATCATGAAGCGACTTCTAATGTCTCCCTTAGGTTTTAAGAATTGTTTTCCAAAGTAAAATAAAGTCTTCTTGTGTTAGTATGTCTGCTGAAACTGATGTTATGTAATCCAGTGTTTCAAAAAGTAGGCCCAGGGCTGGGGTGATGTACTGCTTGTCCTCCTTGCAGGTGAAAAACTGAAGGGAGTCTGGTAACTTATCCAAAGCTCCTTTTGCTCAGGTTTCTGGCTATTTCTTTCTTCTGGCAGAGGACAATGCAAACCCCCCTGTGGTGCCTTTGGTAAGAGCTAGCTGGTACTCAGTTTGCTGTTCTGATGGAAGTCTGACAGTCATGTGAGCCAAGATATTTAGGAACCATTTTCCCTCCCTGCTGACTAATTGCATCCCAACTAAAGTCTGTAGTTCTGCTCCCAGCTCTCATGGTGCGTCTAAGATTTTAGCACAAATACATGGTGAATGCTCTAGCTTGGCTATCTTCTATGCAGGTTGGGCACGTTTTAACCTTCCCTCAGCCCTGCGCATGACAAAAGAGCTCTGGTATGGTAGACAAAGCTTCAGCTGAGGAACAAACAGAACCAGGTTCAAGGCCAAACTCCTCCACTTGCTAGCAAGCCCCCTCACCTATCTGATGGAATGAGGCCGTCCTGTCTCACATGGGAATGAGGACATGAAAAAGAGTGTGGTTGTTGTTGTTGTCATTGTTAGTGCCATTGAGGTGGGTCGTACCCACAGAGGCTCTGTGTAGACCCGAATGAAACACCGCTTGGTCCTGTGCCATCCCCACAGTGGTTGCTATGTCTGTGCCCATTGTCAGAGCCACGGTGTTCATACATCTCATTGAAGGTCTTCCTTTACTTCAGTCCTTCCGGGGGCAGGTCCTTCTTGACAAAATGACACCATCCTGGATTCCAAGAAGCATTCTGGCTGAGGTTTTCCCAAGACAGATTTTCTTGTGCTCTGGCAGACCAGAGTTCTTACAGTAGTCTTGGCCAGCATCCTAATTCAAATGAACCAATTCTCCCGCGGGCTCTCTTATTCACTGTCCAACATTCACATGCATATGAGGTGAGTGAACATACCAGGCTTGGGTCAGGTCCTCAGGTAACATCCTTGCTCCTCAACATGCTCAAGGAATCTTCTGCAGCCTATTTACCCAATGGAATGCATCATGTGGTTTCTTGACTGCTGCTTCTGGGAACAGATTGTGGAGCCAAGTAAGATGAAATTCTTGGCAACTTCACTCTTTTCTCTCTTTATCAGAATGTAGACTGGGTGCAGTGGTGAGGATTTTGGTCTTCTTTACAATGAGTTGGGATCCACAGTTAAGGCGGCAGTCACTAATCTTCATCAGCAAGGGCTTCAGGTCCTCCTCCGTTTCAGCAAGCATGGTCTTGTCATCTGCACATTGAAGATTGTTCATAAGCCTTCTTCCGATCCCGATGCCACATTTCCCCCCCTACAGTCCTATAGTCCACCTTCTCTAGTTACCGAGTATAAGCCATCCCGAATATCAGCCAAGGCACCTGATTTCACCACAAAAACTACATTAAAGAATATGCTGAAGAACTTTGCTTATACACAAGAATAGCATACAGATGGACAAAGTGCTGCCACACACCTTTTCCCTGATTTTAAGCCACTCAGGATCCATTTGGTTTAAATGACTGCCTCTTAGTCCATGCACAGTGTTCTAGTATTCCCATTCTTTCCAATGACAGAATGATCCACACAGTTGAACAAATGTCTTCTCCGTGTCAATAAAACACAAGTAAATGTCTTTCTGCACCCTCTGCTGTCAGACAAGATCTATCTGATAACAGAAATCAATGTCCTTTTTGAATTTGTCCTGAGTTTCTGGTCCCTGGTGGATGTCTAATTGTTCTGAATGATCTTCAGCAAAATTTTATTTTTGTGTGCTATTAGAGATATTGTTTGATAATTTCCACATTCTACTGGATACCCTTTCTTTGGGATGGGTGCACACATGAATCTCGTCCCGTGAGGAAGCTGACTTTCAGCTTTCCTGGCTGAGATGAGTGAGCGCACCCAGGGCTTTATGAGCCAGCTGAAGCATTTCAATTGGCACTCCGTCAATTTCCGGAGCCTTGTTTTTGTCAATGCCTTCAGTGTAGCTCTCAGCCTGTGGAGCTTCTTTCTATCTGGCCATCTTCTGCTGCTATTCATAAGGTTTTCCGTGGCTAATCCTTCAGTAGCAGCCAGCTTGTTCCATCTTTGTAGTCTGCAAGTTCCACTGAAACCTGTTTACCTTGGGCGACCCTGTTGGTACTTCAAACACTGGTAACATCGCCCCCAGCATCCTAACAACCCGCAAGCCACCACAGTCCAACAAACTGACAGACAAGTGGTGGAGAGGGTGTTTTGCAAACTGCTAAGAACTGAAAATGTCAAGTAGCTAGAGCTGGCATCATAGAGTAGCAGGAAGAGAAATATACCGAGGAGGAGGTTTGGAAAGGGCTTGAGGATCATCCGCTCCAAGTGTGCTTCCGACAGAAGCTCAGATGAGGTTGTAGCCTGTCTTCTGAGAAGAGAGGGGGGGGAGATGTCCAACAGTGATGACCTCCACGTCTCTATCTCCCTCCCTATAAAAGTCTACGTTCTTGTTCTTAGGAAAAGGTAAGAGAAAGTAATTCCCTTTAAGAGATCATGAAGCTGACAAAACAGACCTTATCAGAGAGATTCACAACCTTTTCAACATGGAGAAGTATGAAGTGAGCCAAGTATTTCATGAAGCATTTGAAGCAGAGTCCTGCCAATAGGAGCCTGCTGGATTTCTACTATAGGCCTGGGGGTTGACAGTCAAGGGGGGCAATACCTGATCCTCGATGGCAACCAAAGCCATCTGGGAGGGGAGAAGGTGGGTCTCTCTCATCCTCTCAAGCTCTGCATCCTCTCACTCACTGGCATTCGCACCAAGCAAGTGTTTACTTTGCTTTAATGATTTAATTAATTCTGGGTGAGTTAAGAGCATCCTGCCACTTGAAATGGCACTTACATGGAATGTCACTTTCCATGACCAAAGGCACGATGCAACATCAACTTTGTCCCACATCATGGGAAAATTCCAGTCGTTCTTAGCTATAGACCCCTGTGGAGAATTGGAAGTAACCAGACTAATTTCTGGTTTAGAGCCATTCTGTCCACACCTGCCTGACCTCCTGTTAACACCTGGTCTTTGGCCTACAATGTGCCACCAACTCATTTCTGCCCAGTCCTTCCCTAAGAAGCTGCTGAGGAGGGTTCTTTAAGGGAATTTAGATTTTTTTGTGTCTCTTGATTGATGGCCTTCTCTAAAGCACTCACCACACACACCAGCTATGAGATTGGTTTTTACTCTATTAAAAGGGGCCAGAGCTTTTGGGGAGAGGTGGCCAGGGGAACTTACAAAATCGGGCGAGACTGGAAGTCTTCCTGGTTCATCCTCTCAGACTGGCGGATCTTCAGGATCTCGGTGTAACTCAGGTTCTGCAGTTTACTCTTGAACTGGTCCAGAGAGCTAGGCTTGGTTGTAAGAGCTCTCATAACCTGCTCCTTCACCACCTGCATTACCTGTAAAGGAAAGGAAGAACATCGTTTTTCTGTGCTGACCTTGGTCCATTCAGAAGAGACTTTCCAAACGAATGGCTCTCTATCTCCTAAGCCCCTCTGCATCTTGAACTAGTCCAAACCTTGAGCATATATTTCTAGAGAGTCAACCTCCACCCTTCCTTGTGCCATGGGAACCATAAGGAAGGAAATGGATCACATGGTTTAGAAGCGGGAGGATCCAGAGCTGTGGTCCCCTTGCTGGATAGATAGTATGTGGGTGCTGCCAGAGCAACGCTGTACACAATGCAAACTCAAGAGTCAGGAAGTAAAGGAAAGCCAAGCAACAAGCTTGCACATTAATTATTTTACCAGGAAAATAATTGTTGAGAAACAATTAGCGGTGGAAGCTAGGTTGGCACCAGATACCCACACATTCTCCCAGACTGCTTTCCCCATGGAGTCAGTTCCTGGGTGCCCGTACATACGATGTATTCAGACATGTTTTGGTGGTAGTGTCTCTTTGAGCTAGGCATTAAAAAGAAAAGGTTTATTAAATTAGAACGAGTACATTCCATGGATTGCCTCAAGAGAAAAAGAAAAATATGGTCATTTCTGCCAAAGGACAGGCTTAGCCCAGAAAGAGACAATTAACAATTGCTTCTATTCCTCTGGATTAATTTTCATCAGGGTACATTGTGCAGGCAAAGACCAGAGAGCACACAGAGGCATCCAAAGAGCTGGCTGTGATTTTGCTACTTCTCTCTTCACCTGGCGTTACAGATGGGGCCAACCCTTGTTTCCGATTTCAGGTTACCAGCTATGTCCCAAATGGGTCCCTGGTGGCACAGTAGTTAAAGCATTCCGCTACTACAGAAAAGGCCATTTGCTTAAACACATCAGGTGCTCTATAGGAGAAAGATGAGACAGTCTACTTTCATAAAGATGTTCAGCTTTGGAAACCCTCTAGGCAGTCCTGCTCTGTCCAGTAGGGTCGCTAGGAGTTGGTATCAAATTGATGGCTATGGATTTGTTTGCTTGTCTGTACTGTAAATGAGATGCTTTACATTCAGAGGAGCTATATTTGTTCTCTCTGTCCATTCCAAACAAGGAAGTAGGTTTTATCATCATATCCACCTTGCATATGAGGAAACAACCATTCAGTAACACATTCAAAGTTATACATAGTTGGCCCATGGCAGAGGTGGGATTTGAACTCAGAATTTTAAACAATCTACTACTATACTGCCTCCTCTGCCACCTTTCCTTGTGCCATGTAGTAACTTAAAAACCCAAGAGAACCACATATGTGCCCCTGCTACATGCTGGATTCCACTTAGTTATTAGTCCTCTCATTTAATTCTCCCTTCAATAGAGTAAGTTGTTCTCAATTCTCTTTGAATGATGAGGAAGCAGACAGCGAAAGGGCTGATGACCTGTCCAACATCCATGCATACCTGGATGACCTCTTTTTTTTTATATCATTCTATTGGGGCTCATACAACTCATCACAATACATAGATCAATTGTGTAAAGCACACTTATACATTTGTTGCCCTCATCATTCTCAAAATTCGCTTTCCTCTTGGGTTCCTGGAATTAGCTCATTTTCCTTTTCCCCCCTCCCTTAATAATTTATAAATTATTACTATATCTTATCTTACACTGCC